TGTGTCCCAGGGTCGTGTCACCCCCTTTTGTAACCTTCTGACAAGCAAAGTCAACGGGAAAGGCAGAATCACTTAACAACCGGGTTAGTAATTTATCATCTGCAGTGATTCACTTAACAACTGTGGCAATGAAATCGGGCAAAACTCACTGAATAAATGTCTCATTTAACAACAGAAATTTTGGGCTCAGTTAGTAAGGACTACTTGCATATCCTCAAAAATGCTATAAGGTCAAGGTATTATTTTAAAAAATTAAGTCTCTCTCAAGTTGAGTTCAATTCCTGGTAACTATTTGGCCATGTTAATGTTGTTTTCTTGGCCCCAATACGGATCTAGTCTGCCACAGCTGCCTGCTAAGGAGTTGTGTTTGTTTTTGGTTTTACTATGCAGCCCAGTAAATCAACCTGGTAGTAGTTTCCCAGCCAAATTCTAACCATATTTTACTCTGCTTTGCTTTCTCAACATCAGTCAAGATTAGGTCACCTGAAATTCATGCTTTCGTCTTACTCCGTGAATGAAATAATTTTAATAAGAATAAATGTTATGTAAAATAGTATTTTATTGTTAAATGTATATAGCGGGGATCAGTGGTGGGTTTCAAAATTTTTTACTACTGGTTCTGTGGGTGTGGCTTGGTGGGAGTGGCAGGGGAAGGATACTGTAAAATCTCCATTCCCACCCCACTCCAGGGAAGGATACTGTAAAATCTCCATTTCCTCCCAATCAGCTGGGAGGCAGAGAATAGATGGGGGTGGGGCCAGTCAGAATTTTTACTACCAGTTCTCCGAACTACTCAAAATTTCCGCTACTGGTTCTCCAGAACTGGTCAGAACCTGATGAAACCCACCTCCAGCGGGGATATAAAAGGGAGATCTTTTCAAAACAATATATTGAGTGAAATTTAACTATACTTGCATTGTTTGCTTTGGGAATTTTTGAAAATCAGCCACTTGTCCATTTTTTTCTGTAAATTGGGTAGTAGGCACATTTCAGTACAAGCTGTCATCCTCTGCATGTTTAGGCGCCAGAGAAAATGATGGGGAACCAACAGGTTGTTTTGAGTTCTTGTACTTTGAAGTGTTGCAAAACACTTCAAATCAAATGCCTTACATGTCCCAAATGCAAAATTGCAAACTATAATATGTTTGCTCCCAGCTTAGAATATTCAAAATGATTACATATTCATGTTGAATATTCAGAATATTTCAAGCCTGGAAAGTTTTACTTACCCATATTGTTAATTGCTGTTGTTTAATGTAAGACAAGGGTGAAATTGCATTCCATTCATATATTATCATCTTCTACAGGAAAGACGGCAAAAGTAATTCACATAGTTGCTTCAGATATATGATTAATAGTAGATTCTAATTTAAATTTAAATTATTCCAATTTATATTTAAATTATTCAAAAACACATTGCAAGTACAGATTTAGGATTCTGGGATTTACTTTTGCCTTTAAAAGTGTTATCAAATGGAACTTATTAAGAAACAAAATACAACAAATTACCCAAGATAAAGTACCCAGCAGCGCAATATATAGTATAATACTGCATATATAAATGTTTCAATTTTTGCAGTGGTTTTTTGTCCTATTTTCCTATCTTTTTTCCCTTTTGAAAGCTGGCAGGAAGAAACAATTTTATTCTTTGAAAACTGCTCTCCAAGTCTTTTTTGATTGAAGAGCAAAGGAAAGTGCATTCAGCATAACAGGTATCATTTATTTACAATGATTTAAATTTCATCTTAAATAACCAAGAAGATAATTTGAATCACATTTTTATTCTGTACATGACACATTTCCTAAAGAAGACATGTTATCTGATTGCTTTAACCTATCAGCTTTCATTCTAATGGAATCTTTCTGTATCCTCATATTCCATATACTCTTTGATCATAAGAGTATAACATTTGTTTTGAATTACTGAATTGTCTGCTTAGCTGCCTTTCCACATATATGGAAATGTTCACTTTAAAAATCAAATATCTTCACTTCTGCCTTGTACTCTAGTTTTGGGGCGAGTCTTTCTCTTATAGACCTTCTTAATACTTATGAACATTTTGTGACTGTCCACCCCTATCATGACAGTTAATCTGTGAATGAGTACTCCCCTTCGACAGCCATTTTGACATATTCTGAAAATTCACAATAATGTTGCTGACTCGGGTTAGATTGTGAGCCTCAGAAATTCCTTAGCATCTTGAATGAATTCAAAACATTTTCCAAAATCACAGACTGCTTTTTGCAGTGGATGACCATTTTTTCTTAGTGAATTGCCATAGCATTGTTGTTGTTGTTAGTTACGAAGTCGTGTTCGACCCATCGCGACCCCATGGACAACGTTCCCCCAGACCTTCCTGTCCTCTACCATCCTCTGGAGTGCATTTAAGCTCACGCCTACTGCTTCAATGACTCCATCCAGCCACCTCATTTTCTGTCGTCCCCTTCTTCTTTTGCCCTCAATCTTTCCCAGTAATGAGGCTCTTCTCCAGTGAGTCCTTCCTTCTCATTAGGTAGCCAAAGTATTTGAGTTTCATCTTCAGGATCTGACCTTCTAAAGAGCAGTCAGGGTTGATTTCCTCTAGGACTGACTGGTTTGATCGCTTTGCAGTCCAAGGGACTCGCATTATGGTGTATATATTTCTACATATTTGTGACATTCCTAGTAACAAACACAAATACATGACCAGTTCAATTGCAGATGGCATCTAAGTTGGATGGCATCTAAGTTGGTGTGTAAGCTGGTCAAATGCTTCCTCCATATTTCATGCTTTAATTAGAAGAAGATACTTTAAATAAAAAAAATTAGGAGGAGGATCTTTGGTAGCAGGTCACGTATCTAATTTTGAGAAATTATTGATTATACCTTTTACTTATCTGTTAAATTCAGATTTAAGCTATATTTAAGAACATTTCATAATTTAAAAATTCAGTCATGATAAAAAATTATTTCATACAATCTGATATTTTAAATGAACATTGATTTTTAACCTTTTATTATTTTTTTAATTGAACAGCTGGCCCAAATTTTGATCAGGAGTCTTAAAATGATTAACAGCCAGGAATTCAAAATATATTTCAGCCCTGCCAAGAAACCCCTATTAAAATGCATTTGATTATAAAGATATAGTACTAAATTAAAAAAAGGATGCTTCTGCTCTTGAACTAGTATCTCATTATTAGATGGATTTCTTCTTTCTAACCCCACAACTCTCAGAAAGCTACCACTGATCTTTTATGCTGTTTTGGGGGGGAAAAATAGATAAAGTTCCTGAGAACTGCCAGAACAGTCAGATTATAAAAAGCTGGAAGTGATCACGAGGAACTGGAATTCCTGGTCAGTACCCCATGTGGTTCAAACCTTTCCACCTTTCTACTAGTAAAGCATCTGGAAGTAACCATTATCTAAGAAAGGATGCTGACTACAGTGAACTCTCTGACCTAATCTGATGGTTCCCTTGCTCTTGTCCACAATGATAAATTACATCACTTCATGTAAATCATCCCAAATGTATATGCATTCCCCCCTCCCCCTGGAACCTGGGTAAAGCGAAAGTCCCACATGTACACTGAAAGGTTTTAACTCTGAAGAGTTTCATTAGTCCATTAAGGGATCAGCAGGCAAGAAGTAGAAGGCTGTGTTATCTCCAAACACTCTGAGTTCACAGTTTACAAAGCTATGTATTTATCACGATCTCTGATGTCAAGGGAGGGATCATAGATCTTGAACCTTGTAATTCCTTAACATGGGACTGTAATGACAGACAAAGGGCTTTGTCATTCTCTATATGCAAGAACATACATCAAAAACTATTCCCATGAGTCCAAGGAAGTTTGAAATTTGTCTCTTCTTTTAAACATAGCATCGCATTCTATACAGTACAACAAGCTTTCTCAGCCTTACACCTTCCACATATGTTGACTTATGTTTTTAATGACACGCTGGCTATGGATTATGGGTCATGAAGTCCAGCACTTATGAAAGATGGTTGCAAAAAGCTTTCCTACAAAGCCTTCAAAGTATTTGGTTCTTTGCTTCACGAGTTTGGGCTGTTCTCGAGAGCAGTGGCTTCAACCACAGAAACTGCTAGTCTGTAACTGTAAACAAGATAGAAATAAACTCCTTTGCAGAGTTGCTCAACCCTCATATTTCAAGCATGCCGTGAATTCAAAATAAATGTCTAACTTGCCCCAAGACAAGTTACTGTGCCAAAGCATTCAGCAAATGATCACAAAAGGCCACGTTTACACAACACACTTAACTTAGTCACTGAATTAACCAATGTTTTTGATTGACACAATACACTGAAACATAAACTTCCCAAATGGACTAAATTTGCAGAAATAAAGCTAGCCACAAAAATGCAGCCATTATTTTTTAACAGACCTACATTTGTTGTATGAACACAGCCATAATGTTACAAATATTTATTTGTATCAGCTCTCTAAGAATGTAACCCTCTGTGGTCATTTCTAAAGGGGAAGAATAGCAGCCCACTGCAGCAAGAAATACACCAAGATATTTAATCTCCATACTTAACTTATAAACATCAGTATGAAAAACTTACTCTTTGGAGTTAATCGACCTATATATTAAATGTTAAAAGTCTGAAAGTCTCTTAACTAATTCTGGACTTTCAATCAATTAGAAACCTAAGCCCTATTAGTTCTCATTTTCCAAGACTATTTCGCAGGATGAGTTGATTATTTATTATTGGGGGAGGGGGCATCTATTTAAATTCATTCTGTCATTTCCCCCCCCCCCATCCCAGTTCGCCTTTGGGACCACCCAAAGTATCACTATGGAAACAAAGCGATGTCACAAACAGTTGTAACTGGGACCAAGCAGACAGGCTGAGCTCTGAAGAAGCAGAGTTCTCTTTTCATGCAAATGTATCCTCCATTAGTTATATTTGATTCTCCCCCACCTGCATGCAGCAACTCAAAAATCTTCCTTTATAATAATAAATGGATATCCAAGAGGGGTTGGCAGTTGTGTATCCTATCAGCATTTGGTTAAGCAGCGTTACCAATCAGAGTACTGTACCAGGGACACACAAAAATTGGGATTCTTTTGCCATCTTCTACTCATTTTAAAGTTAAATCTAAATGCTGGTGTTGTAATTTCCTCTCCCATAAGAGGCAATAGTTCTGCTCTGACAAGCTTAAGTAACAAGTCCTGTTTGTTCTCATGCAGAGGTGGACATGTTCTAGATCACATTAACATCTCTACTCTGCTGGTTTGTATTATAACACCTGGCATTACCCTTCAGATTCATCCGCTTTTCCCAAACCGGACACCTTCCAGATGTTTTAGTACTACCATTCTCCAAAAGTCCAGCCCAGTCCTCCATTAAACCCCAGCCAGCATTCTTCACTCTTTCAAGCATCCCTTTAAAACCTAGCCAACCTCTGCTCGCACCATCTGGCCTCCAACATCATCACCCTTTTTCTTCTCCCGGCTCCTCTCTGAATCTATCTATAGATCATCTCCTTCCTTACCACCCAGTCCAGATCATTTGGAAGGTGGGGGGGGGGAGGAAAAAAAAAAACCAGTGGAAAGAAACGTGTCCCTCGCACGGAAACGAAGGGCAGAGTGAAGAAGGGGGGAAAGGAGGAGAACGTGCTTTTTAAGGCCCCCATCTCTGGTCGCCAGCAGTTCTAGCAGCACGGCAAGCCGCAGAGAGAGCGAGAAAGAGAGAGAGAGAGCCGGACATCTGCTTCTCAGCAAGCATCAAAGGCTTTCCTCGCAAACCCTGCATCCAGATGGAATCCCTTAACAGGGCTTTCCTCCCCTTCCCTCTCTCTCTCTCTCTCTCTCTCTCCCCCCCCCCCCCACCCTCCCGCCCGCCCCGGGACGCCTTTCTTTCCATCCAGGCTTTGGAAACGCTTGCGCGAGCGGAGCTTTCCGATCCCTCCATCCATCCCCATCCGTCGGGCTCGGACGACTCTTCTCCAACTCTCTCTCCTCGGCTACCCTCGGTTGAAACCGAGATCCTTCTTTCTCTCCCCCACCCCCCCCACCCCACTTCTCCCCGAGTTCGGATCCGGCGCTCTTTACGTACCCAAAGCATGCAGGATAGGCAAACCCAAGTCATCCTGTCATCCGATCGGCCCGTGGAGAGGCTCAGGGAAACCGAGAGCATTACAGCATCGGCTCACGCTCACATCCTCCGGCTAAGCCAGGGCAGGAGGGGCAGGCACGGAGGCGGAGGAGAAGGCAGCCCATCTCGGCCACCAGCGCTTTTCCCTTCCTAAGTATCAGCGCGGAGTTTTGTTTTTTTTTATTATTTTAATTTTTTTTTTCCTCCCCTCCTGCTTTCTTAGGGCAGCCTTCCTCACCTCTGCTAAGGAAGGGGAGAAGGGGGCGGGGCCTGGGACCAGAACCCTTCTCTTTATTGGTACAAAACTCCGCCCCTCTCTTCCCCAACCCCTCCCGCCTGGCCAGCTGCAGAATTTTGCCGCGCTTTTATAGCGTTGAATGGGTCCCGCTGCAAACCGCGGCGTCACCAAAAAGAAAAGAGGGGGGGGGGGGCGCGGGGCGGGGCGTCGTGTCTGGATCATGGGGGGTGGGGGTGGAGGAAGAACCCAGGATCGGTTCGACTGCAGTGCCAAAGAACACCCGAACTGCTTTGGGGAGATTCAGGTGGATTTTGTCCGTTCCCCTCCCCTCCACAAGCAACCGAAGTGTAAGGAAGTAAGGAAGCGTCTCTAGCGAAATCTAAGCATTTGATCAGTCAAAAATCAATATTCAAGAGAACCGAAATCCTTTGGCTAGGATAAAAGGTTCTCTGGTTTGCGTTGCCCCAAAAAGCAAGCTCTGATGTTAAAATGTACAATACCGTAATGCTTTATTTTATTTTTTTATTTTATTTTGATCGATAATAGAATTTATGGCCCGAATGGACACGGGAGTTTCATTGCAAACGAGAGTCTTCTAGTCCGAAAAGATCAAAGCCCACGAGGGACAAGAAGAAGATGCTGACTGTTTTTATTCTAAAGAAGGAGATACGGTACTGCTGGGTTTTTTTTTTTTAACTTTAAGTATGGCTGCCGGCACAATTGTTGCAATCCAAGTGCACCCACCGCGTCTCGAAAGGTTTTTGCTTTTTAAAAAAAAAACCAGTAGTAGTAAAAATTTTGGATACACTTCTATTTTAAGAGCAAGACGGTAGACGTTTCTTGCTATCTTTAATTGTAGGGAAGGGGTGGAGAAAATAGAACATGGTTTATTAAAAGAGAAATAGGGGGTCCCATAATATTAATTGGGGAGGTCTATCCTCTGATTAATACAAGATCTTGTTTGTGAGTTTCTGCTTTCACAGAAAGTCCAAATACCACCACAATCTCATTGTTGCCAAGTGAGATACGTAGGACTATCTGAGACTGGGATAGATCCATCTTAGATTCCCCTGCTAAGAATATGGTTGTAAAATGCCACTCATAAAAAATAAAAGCAAGAACAATATTTCTTTTTACCGAAACACGAGAGATCAATTACAAATTCCCATCCAGGCATGTTCACAAGCTACTAGCTGAACCAAAAAAAAAAAAAAAAAAGCATATTAACAAAAGGAAAGAAAGCACTCAAAATAATACCATACAATACAATGGACCATATACACCATAACTAAAATAAAACAAGTAGTAACTGAGGAATTGCTAGGGTTGAAGAGAGTAAGTAGGATCAAACAGGGAGATGAAGGGATGACCTAATTCCAGAGTTGAAGGACCAGGTCCTGGTAAGTCTGCAATCAGGAGACTGATCCTGGAAGAAGGAACAGAAAGAAGCACTTGCTCAGAGGAACATAAAAATCAAATACGTCTGCAGGGAGACATAAGCATCCACACTTTGCGGGATGATTGGATGTTGTGAGCAGAGGACTAAAGACAAGCCCCCCCCCCCAATGTTTAAAACAGGCTCTGCACACACACACAGTCTTGCGGTGACGTAAGATATAAGCATGGTATAAAAGCTCCAGAAGAGTAGAAACAGCACTATTTAAACTCTTCTGGATTAAGATCAGGGAATGGAAAGAGACATCAGGAACACTTTCCAGGGAATAACTGAATTAATCTTAAGGAAAAAGCCTGCTCGGAATCATGTTCAGACTGATCTACCACCAGCATCCCCACCTACCCTTAGAGAAACACTGCACACCTGGGATTCAGAAAAGCATCTTGATCTCAGCTACCGTTGACCTCAGGGCCATGGCAGGATTGATATGACATGGCCGTGCCCACATTCCAAAAGTGGGTGGAGCCTTTTTTTTAACTTAATTTGTATTTATTTTATACTCTTTATTTTATACTTCTTTATTAATGAAATATTTGGGAGGGTTGTAATTGCAAACTTTAAAAAGAAGCTGTAACTTTTTTCTTCATCAGTAGAGGGTGTTGCAATGTTGGATGTTCACAGCCATTTATCCTGATGAAAAGGACTGCATTTTTTGTTTGGTTGGATGGTTTTGGAACAAACAATCCATCAGAAAGGGGTTAAAAATGTAGCCTTTTTTCATTAGTAGAAGAGAATATGAAACAGAATCCCAGTGTCCTGGCTTCCTCTGCTAAAAATAATTGCTGCAGGTTCTTTTCTTTTGGAAGGAGCAGAGAAGCTGCAGCTTCTCAAGAGGTTGGGGAAAGAGAAGGAGCAAAGGAGAAGGCAGTGAAGAAGCTGGAAGAGACCAGGGCAGTAGGATGGGAAAGTTTCCAGGTGAGGGAGGGGGGAAATCACTGGGAAGAATTGGAGAGATTGAGGAAAGGAAGAATTGGAGAGATTGAGGAAAGGAAGAATTGGAGAGATTGAGGAAGGAAAAGTTGCAGAAGAACGAATGCTCAAGGAAGAGTCAGGAGAAAGGGTTTAGAATGGCAAACAAAGGGGAAAGGTGGACTGTTTGCACATTTTCTAGGTTACAGATTGTAGTTACAAGGCAAGCATCAGTCCTAGCATCTCTCCTGTTTGCGTTTAAGAATCAAACCTGATGTTCAGGACGTCTATCCATAAATCCTTGTGTTGCCGAAGGAGAAACATAATCACATAACGGTAAGCAGAAACTAGAGAGATCAAAACTTTCTCAGGGCTTCACTTCTCCAGTGAGATAAACCAGGAACAAAATTAAACAGAGGATGGGAGAATAAAGCAGTGGACATGCTTGGAAGGGGCGAGGGAGATGGGAAGAGGGATATTAATAGGCTCTAGCTTCTCCAAGGGGCTGGCCAGCAAGAGGGTGTCTTGTGTAACCCATTAACTCAAATATGCATTACCACAACCTCTCACTCCTCAACTAATTGGTGGCTTACCCAGAAGGGGTCCAGTGTTCAATTACATGAAAGAGAGGAGAATGAACAAAATGTGCCCGGAGGCTTCCAAAGCAAACACCACAATATTCAGAAAAGGTAACTCCTTTTTGATAACAACTTCATGAAACTGAGATGCTTTTATTAAACACCCAAGCAACAGCATGAGGCTCAAAGAGAATGTGACTTTTCAGCTTTGGAGAGCTTGCCTCCATACAAAGAAGGGCAAGTTATAGGAGGGCAGGGGAAATAAGCTCAACAGTGTTTTTAGTGGGCAAAAATTCAACGGCAGCAGTTGAATTCAATGCATGGGTCTTTTGTGTACTACTGGTGTAACACTGGGTTACTTTTTGCCAGCTTCATACTGCTAGGTTTCGACCAGCTGAGATGCCTTATTAAGAACAGCTTGGTTCTGAAACTCTTGTTTGTCCTGAACAGCCAGGCTGACATTTGGTTCCTATTATTTTTCACCAGCGCAGTTCACATTCACTTTCCAGATTAGACAAGCCTGAGGAACCCAGCAGGGGGTGGACCAATCACTGGTTGCTTGGAAAGAAAAAAAAGTAAATGGCAGAGAAATGAACCGTCATCATGTTTTGGATTTTTTCCCAAAGCATAGAGGGGGATCAAAATATATTATCCTTATTCTGCTGGAAATAAAGACTTGCGTGCATTGGCTGATGCGCTGTGAAGTGAGATGTTTTAGCAACACTCTAGGCATATACTTATTGTTGTTAGTTGCAAAGTTGTGTCCGACCCATCGCGACCCCATGGACAATGTTCCTCCAGACCTTTCTGTCCTCTACCATCCTCTGGAGTCCATTTAAGCTCAGGCCTACTGCTTCAGTGACTCCAGCCACCTCATTCTCTGTCGTCCCTTTCTTCTTTTGCCCTCAACCGTTCCCAGCATTAAGGTCTTCTCCAGTGAGTCCTTCCTTCTCATTAGGTGGCCAAAGTATTTGAGTTTCATCTTCAGGATCTGGCCTTCTAAAGAGCAATCAGGGTTGATCTCCTCTAGGACTGACCGGTTTGATCACCTTGCAGTCCAAGAGACTCGTAGGAGTCTTCTCCAGCACCATAGTTCAAAGGCCTCAATTCTTTGGCGCTCAGCCTTTCTTATGGTCCAACTTTCACTTATACTACTCCACCTAAAAGGCCTAGAACCACTTTCCCCAGATGGGCTGGACTACAAGCATATTGCTTGGGAAGGTGGAAGTTATAGTCTAAAGGGTGATAGGGTGATAGGTTAGAGAAGAAAGCATTCCTTAGCATTAATGTATAGTAAAGGGACATTCCATCTGTTTAGTTATACAAATTAATAAACAGTCTTGGAAATTTGTCCTTGATGTACCTAAATTTGTGGCACAGAAACTCAAACTAAAAGAAAAAGTCAGCTTCCCTTTCCTTGATAACCTGAGGGGATATTCTAAGTCCTCAAGGACATAATTAGTTGGACAGAACAGAATAAACCTGTACAGGAAATAATCAGTAATTGGAGTACAGGCTTAGCACTTTCTCAATAGGCGTGGTCTTCTTCTGAAGTGTTACCAAAGGAGTTTCTGGTTAAATCACGCTGCCCTCTGGGCAGCATAAAATTAACCCAGATCTGCCATTGCCCTATAGAAGAGAGGAGAGGAAAAAAGGAAAACCAAACATAATACTTAAAAATGTTCATCAAGTGAGGGTTAAGCTGCTCTCTAATGATTTCCAAGATTATTCACTGCCATAGGCAATATTAATATACAGTGTAGAAAATAATCCAAACAACCATAACTGACCATATTAGGATAAAGTTCAGTCCATAGTTTTAAGGATTTCTTCTTTTAAGAATATGTCAGCTTAAGCTATACTTAAATTAATAAGTTGCTGTAAATCAAAATTAAAGCTATAAAATTTATCTATCCCTATTTATATACTGCTAAATCAATAGCAACTCCCAGTGGCATACAGCAATAAAGATATTGATGAACCATATAAATGCAAAACAACCTACCCCCTCTTCCCCAAAGAACCCAACATCAATTATAAAAATGGTCTCTAAGTCGAATAATAAGTGCAAAGGAGTTGGGACTGGACAAATGTGCCACTCTCGCCATCAACAAGGGGAAAATAATGAAAACTGAAGGATTCGAAAGAATGGTAACAATGAATGAATGGAAATAATGAATGAATGAAGATGATGACTACAAATATCTGGGCATCCTTCAAGCTGACAACATGACAGCACTGAAGTCAATAAGAAGGTTAGAAAAGATCATCATGAAGGTAAAGATCTTAAGAGTCCAAACTAAGAGAAAATACCATCAAGGTAATTAACAGCTAGGCAGTTCCAAGTCATTAGATAGATGTTGACAGACTCTATTTACCAAGGAAAATAGGTGGGCGTGGAATATTGTAAGCATACCGGATAGTGGAAGAAATAAAAGGGGAGGAATATGTGAAGGATAGTGAAGAAGATGTACTGAAGCAAGTATACCATGAAGTCTTACTGAGTACTGGAAAAACCAAACGCCTACAAGAAAGGCTAAATGAATAGAAGAGAAACATGGCAAGGCAAAGTATTACATGGCCAGTACACATACACACACACACACAAAGTCAGCAGATAACGACAAGATCTGGCAATGGCTAAAAGCAGAAAAATTGAAAAAAGAGACAGAAGGACTAATTCTGGCTGCACGTGACCCAAGCCTTAAGAACAAATGAATACCATGCC